CCAGAGCAGTCTGTAATGCCAGCGTGGTGATGTGCACAGGTTTTATAGAACCATTCTCTCCACTCCTGCACGTCTTCCTGCCCTGTCTGGTGTCCAGACACCCTCCCAGGTTACCTGCTGGTTCTGCTCCACACCACTGGCCTGTGTCTCGAGGGTCCCAGCACAGCACAGGCTCTGAGCCAGCAGCCAGACTCTGCATTCTCCTGCTCTGAGGTCTCCAACAAGCTCACTCAGCAGGCTGTGTTCCTGTTCTCCTTTCTTTGAGGATTGCAAGCTGTTCTGGAAGAGGGCTACTTCTTACAAACGTGGCCACTGCCCTGGCAAAAAGACCCCAGAGCATCCAGGATCCTTTGACATCCTCAGAGTTAAAGCCTGAGAGTCTCTGCTGAGACCTCACCTGTCCTGCTTGGACATGGCATCCCAAAACAGAAGCAGGTGAGCTGTTTACCTGTTTGTTGTATACTTTGTTCAGCCAAAACCCCACAACATCCCCAGCTCCCCCGATTCAGCTTTCAGCACACATCCAGCTGTGAAGTACCACAGAAAAGGGGCAAAACCACAGTGTGGGAGCCAGCACAGAGCAGGAGAGAAGATGAAGGGCTGGGAGAGGGGCAGAGCCTCCTAATCCTTCTGTGATTTGCCATCAGCAGCACAGAGCCAGCAGTGCATCGGGACAACACCTCATTCACACTCGCTGTCACCCTCAACCACAGGGACAGCAAGTGATGTTTGCTTCTCTGCATCTCCCCAGCTGAACCCACTTTGATACTGAGGCACAGGCAGCAAGAGATGGATTCATGCTCAAGGACACAGCTCTTGCCTGTGCTGTGCTCACATCCAGGGCTGTTCATCCCAGTGATGGTGAAAGACTGGGGGATGCAGACTGGCTCAGTGGTCAGACTTGAGGGTCCATGGAAGAGTGACCACAGGACAGGGCACAAAGCTGGGAGATCCAGGACCTGCACCTGTCTCTGCCCTCACAGGTGAGCACTGCCCCATGCTGAGATTAATTCACAGCTCTGACCTCAGGGAAGGGATTTTCTCTCTTTGTCTTGTTTTGTCCCCTCCATTTGCAGGTTAAGGGAGAGTCCATTCCTATGTCAGAGTGTGCAAGGTCTGACTTATCACCAGCAAAGTTCTTTGAGGTACCCTCAAACCACCCCCTCCCCAGCCTCCTCACCATGCCCTGTGCAGGCACATGCAGCCCCCCCAAGCCCCCACAGACCCAGCAGCAACAGAGATGTGGGCACAAGGGGAAGAAAACTGCACCAGGGAGAGGACTTTGAGAAAGGGACAGACAACATCACAGCAACAACACGTCCACCATCCCAGGAGCAACACAGCCCAACCCACAAACCCCAACCCATCACAGGGCCAAGCCCAGCCCTTCCTCCTCACTCAACCATCCCCTAAAATATTCCAAAAACACATTCAAAGCACTTTTTTACTTCTAAACCTTGCATTACACAAACTCACAGCAACCTCCCCAAATGCAGGTGGGCTCATTTAGTGGGTACCAGAGAAAGCCCAGGTGGTGTTAACCAGTCATATGTTGCCTCCTCCCTCCTGAGGATTTCACCCTTCAGCTTTCAGACAAGGCCTTCCAGCTTAGCTCCCTAGCTCCCAACCCTAAAACCAGGGCAAGGATCCTTCTGTCTTCCAGCACAGGCTGGAAGATGCTGCACTCCCCATGCGGGGCTGGCTCAGGTAAGGGAGGTTCAGCTGGTCCAGGGGACCTCCTAAGCCAGGGCCACGACAACAAGAAGTGGTGATAGCCCAGGTGACAAGTCTGGCAGATGCAGGGACACAGCCTGGCTTACAGAATGGAGACATGAAAAGCACTTTGCATCACAGCCATGTTATCCCCTCATCCCTCCCCCTCATCCCCTTTGGAGCTTCTTAACTTCAGAAACCTTCCTCCAGAGGAGTGCTGGAGTGACAGAAAACATTTTCCAAGCCTAATATTAGTTCCAGATGTTCACAGCCATTTCAGTTTGTACCTCACCCTGTAAAACACATTTCTCCCTCTCCCTGTCTCAAGTGCAGCGCCTGCTTGGTCCATGACATAATGCGCTGGCGGGCTGGCTGCACACACACACACAGACACACACACACACACATGTGTGGCTCACGCCCTCTCTGAGAGCCCCACGTTCAAACAAAGAGCATCACTCAACTACAAAGCCGTCGCACACATGGAGTTATGAGTAATTTCCACAAGTTTTAATAAACAGTTTGGGATGTAATTGCTCTCCGTCTTCCCGGCTGGCTCCCGAGCGCGGAGCCGCTCGCTCCCCGCGCGCTGGTGTTGAAAGCGTGGTTTGTTTCACACACTAGTTCACCTCCTCTCCGCCTCAGATGGGCCAAGGGCTGTGTTTTTGTAAGCACCAGTAACAAGCCTCTTAAAAAACCTCATACAGCTGAGGGCAACCGACCCACGCAGGCTCCCGGCTCCCTTGGCCCTGTCCTGCAGCATCCCTGTCTCTTGTGGAGCCCAGCAGGGAGCAGAGGGGACCCACATTAGACCAGTCTCAAAACTCCCTCCTGACTCTGCTCCAGGAGGAAGAGGAACAAATGGTTTCTGGCTCAAGGGAATGGTTACATCTTCCAGTTGCAGAACAAGGCAGAGGCCAAGGAGTTTTGCAAGGGTGAGAGGCTGGAGGATTTTGAGGGGCAGGAGGAAGGCAACAAGCAGGTGAGGCTGGGATCAGCTACCACCAAGTTTGCCACAGGAATGAAGAACAGGTTGGCAGAGCTCTAGCCCATGTCAGTACCAGGAATCACAATAAGAAATGTCTACAACTGCAATAAACCAAACAAAACCACTGTCCAAGTACAAATAACACACTCATTTAAAATCAAGAGTTCCAAGGGATGAGTGGTAGCATCCTCAAGAGCCCTAAAAGATCCTTGCCAGATCCTCCCAGCCCAGAGTTGGCCCCCTCTCCAAATACCTATGATGTACCTCCCAGCAATGGGAACAACCTGCTCGTCCCTGCCAGCAGCTGGGAGACTGATGGGGAAGGAAGATCTGCCCATGTGCATCAAAAGCCATCCAAATTTCATATCCCACACTCCCCTCCCAACGATTCCCTGTCTGAGGCTGAGTTATTGTTTTTGTGGATGCTGCTCAGAGGGGAGAAGCTGTGGCGCAGCAGGATGGGTGGGTGATGGTGGTCGGGGGTTATTCAGGACAGGATTTTTGGCTGTAGAGATCTGTGGCAGTCAGCACCTCTGCAAGCCTACACAAGGTATTTAAAGGAATCAAGTCATCTGGCATTGGAGGCCTGTAGGGTAAGAAAGGAATGAAGGCAGAAATGTTGTTTGGTTATAAACAACACAGAAAAAAAAAGGGAGAGATTTAGGCTTGGCTTTTCTCTTTAATTGTTAATAGGGTCATTCTGTCCCAAACAGTCCCCCAGAGCAGGCAGAGGGGAGGGAAGCTCCCCACAATGAATTCAATTGCCTGTCAAACACATGGCAGTCATAAAAGGAAAATAATAATAATAATCTGTATTTCCTACTCTGGCTGCCAGGCAAAGATCCAGCCACTTCAAAGGAGAAACCCCATGTTTCCCTGGTCTGGCCTCACCTGACTGGTGTGTGAGCAATCTGGAATCCCCATTCAAACCAAAGCCCCTCCTTTGGTGGCTTGTTTTCTTTCTCCATTACTGCAAGGTGCCCCTCCAAGACAAAGAACAAACCTTCTTCCATGCCATGAAACCAGAGACATAACCCAGAGTCCATGGCCACATCAGGCAGCTTTGGGAGGGGATGCTGGCAAGATGTAGGAGAAAGGTCCCAAGGGATGGGACTGGTGTATGAGCCAGGGACCTCCTGCAGGTCTCCTGCTTGTGGAGACTCCTGATTCTTCTTTCAGTGTTCTCCACAAACAGCTGGACCCCCCCAGCAGGTGGGGATGTGGCTCTCTCCAACAGAGACAGGCCAGCTCTTGAAGCACATGATTTTTTGATATGGTGGCATCTACACTGCAGAAGCAGAATAGATGGGCTTGAGGTGAACAGAGAAGGTGGAAACCTCCCTGTGGCTGTGAGGTCTAAATGATCTTCCTGAGCCTGTCTTACCAACAGGGAAACACAGCTAAACATCTTGCCAGGGTGCCCTGGGAGCCCATGCAAGTCTGCACATGGACTGTGAGGTCCTACACTCCAACACCAGCCCTGTCCCAGGTAAATTTCTGCTTTCATCAACTGCCCAGCTGCCCCTGACAACTTTTGTGAGCTTTAAAAAAAAACTACATCCAAAATCCTCAAGCAAAAAGCAGTAGGTTCTGCCTGGCTTTCCCTGCAGCACGGCTATCACTCAGGGTCTCAAGTCCTATTTTCTGAAATCCATCATTGACTCACCCAAATCAAATCCCATCCTTCACAGCCCTCTGCCTTGTCCAGCAGCTCCTGGAGCATGGATTGAGCTGCTGACAAAGCCTTTTTAAGGCGTAGAGCATTCAGTACAAGCCTGAGAACTAAATTCCAACCCAGGGAAGTTTCAGGTTCTCCTGGAGAAATTTTGTGCTCTTTAAGTGATCTCCCTAAATATTGTAGTTTGGAGTTCCTCTGATAGGTGTGCAAGACAGCTGAAAATGTCCTTTCAAAGGTGGGCCACTGGTCACTCCCTGGAACAGACCAGTAAAGCCCTTGAGATGGAAGGATGGATGACCTTCCCCCTACAACCACCACCCTGTGGCATTTCAGACTGATCAGATCAATACCCACTTCAGAAAGTCCAACTCACAGCTCTCCTGCCCAAAAAAGGGTAAATAATTTCCTTCTGCATCACTGTGCTTTTGTAATACCCCTTTCCCTCAAATAGCCATGTCTGCAGAAGATTCCAGAAACCTCTCCTAAATGGAGTGGGTTTGATACCTATGTAACACCTTGGCTCTATTCTCCACCAAAGCAGCTGCTCCCAACCAGGTAGGGCACAGGAAGCATTGCCAGGAGCCCTCTGGAGGCTGCCTTCCCTCACTGTGTGTTACCCACCTGTGTAAAGGTCTGTGTCCGTGTACTCATCCACCTTCTTGTGCTGCAGGACGTAGTCTGACACCTTGGTCCCGATGGCAGGCTGCACATCCAGCCACTCCAGGGACACCACGGTGCTGGAGGGCTCCACGTTGGGGGAAAGCCGCAGGCTGGGAGGGAGAGAGTGAAAAAACAGGACATGAGCTCCCTTTCTGGGGAGGAATCCACAGCTCCAAGCAGCACAACCCCTAGAAAGGCCCACATTCACACATGTGGGTGTGCCCACAAAGCCCTGAGGACAGAGGTCACAGGGGCAGAGCACACGTGAGCATCGCAAAGCTGAAGCTCAGGTGAGTCCAGCCTACTGAAATGTGTGCCCTTGGGAGCCTCCCCCTGCTCCTGGGGAAGGCAAGCTCTTGCAACCCCAAATATCTCATCTAAAGGGGCCTTCATTGTCTGGGACAGCTGCTGAACTTCAGCAAGGTGAGCAAGGACCAATACCCCAGGAGCAAAACAGAAGATCCAAGTTCTTGAAACCCAGCAGGGCTGAGTCCACAGGAGGGAAGGGTCAGGTCTGCATGGCCAAGGTGAGGGAGGGAGAGAGGGGGAGAAGCAGCATGAATTCACCCAGCTGCAAATCTCTGAAGGGCGTAGGTGAGAGCCAGAGCAGGGCAGCTGTGCAGGAGCTCCTGCCCAGAGCAGGAACAACGTGGGCTGGGATGAAGGCAGAGGAGCTCTGTGCTCCTGGCTGTGCTAATGCAGAGGCGTCCACTCCCTCTGCTCCGGGGTAGATGACAACACCAAGTACAGGGCTATGGAGAGTCTGGCTCCAAACACACTGCATGTTTGCTGGACTCGAGATGGGAAATGAATCCCTCTGAGGATATTGGCTCACTAAGAAGGTGTTCTGCTCCTTGTGGCTCGCTGGAGCCAGTCTTCCTGCTTTCTCAGCTAATTTCCCATCAGTTTGCTCCTGATTTGCTCTTGCTCTGACAAGCCACAATGAATTGCACTGTAATTCCATTTCTTTCAGCATTTGAAATCCCATTCTACAAGCCCTGCTAATCAGGTGATGAAAATCTATAAGGAAACCTTCCAGGGCCACAGCCAGAGCCAGGATATCCTAAAGACATCAGTCACACAGTGAGGAGGGCTGGAGTGCAGCCCCCAGCCCCAAGGGTGCAGGAGGAGGTTCCCATGGGCTGAGCCTCTGGGAAATGGGGTGGTTCTGGGGGCCGTGACCCATGGGAAAGGGGCTGGTAGGGCTCACAGGGATACGTACACAGGCGGAGGGAGAGGGCTGCAGTTCGGGAGTCCGTTCTCATCGAAGGCATTGAGGTCGCACCTGCACCAGTCTTCGATAACATCACCTTTCCCAGAGCACCAGTATGAGCTCATCAGGGCTCCCTTGAAGGCCTGATGTGAGAACAAAAAGCGTGAACATGTGTGCTAAAGACTCAGTGAAATCCGGCACAGCTTCGGGGCTGAACATCGGGGGGAGTGTGCAGAGCCCCGGGATCAGGAAACGTGGGATGGGTTGGGGGAGTGTGTCCTCCCCAGCTTTGCCACGGCCTCTCTGCATGGCCCTTCACCTCCCTGGGTTTAACTCCCACGTGTTGAGTGATGCTGGTTCATCCCTGAATGCTTTTGGAGTGGGGATGGGGATCCCCTGTGGCGGAGGACTGAGCTGCTTGAAGAAGCACAAGCATAAGTCCCTCTGTGAGAGTGAACAGAATACACACCGTGCCTGCACACTGCTGCTGTGTACAATGAAGCTCTTCCACTCCTCCCCGTGCCCTTCTGCCCAGCCGTTTCTGTCCCCCTGAGAATAAAGTAATGCCCAAATTCCCAACAACACAGACCCCCTTCCATCCTTCTCACAGGTTTGATATTCACACAAAGTGCCCTCCTGCAAGCAAACTGCTGCTTTATTCACTTGTTTGAGGAACACTCACAAGCAAAAGAGCAGTATCTGCAAAGAAAAAATAAAACCTGGAAAATACTTGCAGGATGTCCCCAGGAGCCACCCTGACTGCTCCTAATAATACCAATGAATCCCTGGAATAACAACCGTGGTCAGAATTGGCAAAGCCATCCAGGTCTCACCCCTCAGTGTCCCTGCTGTGCTCATCCCACAGCTCAGGGTGCTTGGTGTCAGTCCCCATAATGCAGGAGGGGGCATCCCTCACTCCATACCCTTCTATAGTTTGGACCACATGGATTTATGGTGGTTTCTCCACTACCCTTCGCCTGTAATTAAACTTCCATTTTCAAAAACATCTCTCCTTCACACATGCAAAGCCAACATCCAACCCAACCCTGAAAAGCCACAACACCCATCTGGAATAATCAGAACACAAAAAACACAGCCACTAGAACAAAGCTCTAATGCTTTTGGCCCTTCAAGAGGCATATTTGGGAGCTGAAACATCTCCACAGGTCCTCATCCACATGGAGCAGCCTTACTTGTGGCAACACTGTTCTTCCCATGAGAAGTTGCCTGGCCCTGGTGATACAGCCTGTGCTGCAAGGGTACACCTAGAAATAAATCTGTGCCCTTTGAGGAGCACAGGGACAGCTCAGGCAGCAGCACTGAGCAGAAAACTCTAGGAAAAGCGCCATCCCAGGGAGGTTTCTGAAAGGAGGAAGTATAAATAGAGCCTGACGTCAGGGCTGCCATTGTCCGGGGTTTTGTCGCTCTCCCCAAACACCCCCAGCACCTTTAACAAGGCTCCTCAAGGCTCTTGTGTCTGCAAAACTTTCTGCTTCCAGGCATTTACAAAATGGGACTGTTCCAGATGGAAAAAATTAAATAAAAATCCCAAAAAACCCAAGGAAGGAACGAACAGGTGAAAGAAAGAAAATGTGACATTATTTTACTCTGTTCTCTAGAAAGTAATTGAAGTGCTAGGCTGGAAAGGGCATCCAAAGTAATTGGAGAGAGGGATGAAGAGAAGAGTTTATCTGACACCCAGATAAATGGATGCAGACACACCAGAGAGAGAGCAGCGGGTCTGTGCAGGAAAGGAACAGCAAAAGATGTGTGCAGATGGATGGGGAAGCATGTGCTCTCCCTAGGAAGCAAGATAAATACCCTCTGCTGAGGTACCTGTGTGCACAGACAGGCGCTGCGGGTGAAGACAGATGTGGGTGATACTGGGAAGAGCTGCACTGTCACACTGCTGCCACTGCTCCACTGTCCCCCAGCCCCAACCCTGTCACTCTGCACACCCCCTCTCTGTCCCCTAACCCAGCTCCTCCCTGCACATCCCCGACTTAGGGAAGGAGCCCCACCCACCCATCCATGCCCTTTAGTAAATCCAGTAATCGATTCCTTGTTTTTCTTTTTTTCCTGCTGTTAAGCACTAGCTGGATGAGCAATCCCCCTTGCTCTGCCCAGCCTTGAATAGGTTTTAATTAGATCCTTCAGGTGCCCAGCTGTCATCTGCCTTGCGTCACCCTTCACACAAACGAGGTTAGGGGATGGATGCTGTGCTCATTACGGCGAGCACACCTCCATCCCCTAACCAGGTTACTGGGAGCACAGCTGCCCCTGATGGCTCCTGCCTCTGTCCTGACTCATGTCAGGGCCAGGCTGGGAGAGACAAGCATCCAGGGCTTGTCCCTGCCTTGTCCCTCTGTGCTAGGCCAGAGCCAGGCAGCCAGGGTTGTCTCTCTGTGCTAGGAATAGGTGAGGCTACACCTTGGGTGACCAGTCCAGTTCTGGGCCACTCATGAGAAGAAAGACATTGAGGGGCTGGAGCGTGTCCAGGGAAGGGAATGGAGCTGGGGAAGGGGCTGGAGCCCCATGAGAGGCTGAGGGAGCTGGGAAGGGGCTCAGCCTGGAGAAAAGGAGGCTCAGGGGGGACCTTGTGGCTCTGCACAGCTCCTGACAGGAGGGGACAGCTGGGGGGTCGGGCTGTGCTCCAGGGAACAGGGACAGGAGGAGAGGGAACGGCTCAGGCTGGGCCAGGGCAGGCTCAGGGTGGACATCAGGAGGAATTTCTCCATGGAAAGGGTGGTCAAGCATTGGAAGAGCCAGGCAGCCAGGGCTTGTCCCTGCCTTGTCTCTCTGTGCTAGGAATAGGTGAGGCTACACCTTGGGTGACCAGTCCAGTTCTGGGCCACTCATGAGAAGAAAGACATTGAGGGGCTGGAGCGTGTCCAGGGAAGGGAATGGAGCTGGGGAAGGGGCTGGAGCCCCATGAGAGGCTGAGGGAGCTGGGAAGGGGCTCAGCCTGGAGAAAAGGAGGCTCAGGGGGGACCTTGTGGCTCTGCACAGCTCCTGACAGGAGGGGACAGCTGGGGGGTCGGGCTGTGCTCCAGGGAACAGGGACAGGAGGAGAGGGAACGGCTCAGGCTGGGCCAGGGCAGGCTCAGGGTGGACATCAGGAGGAATTTCTCTATGGAAAGGGTGGTCAAGCACTGGAAGGGGATGCTCAAGTAGGTGGTGAAGTCCCCATCCCTGGAGGTGTTCAAGAAACAACTAAATGAGGCACTAGTGCTGTGGTGTGACAAGGGGGTGATTGGTTAAAGGTTGGACTCAGTATTGGAGATCTTTTGCAACTCAAACGATTCTGGGATTCTATGGCTTTTCTTGCTTTCTAGTGGAATTTCGAGACAGTGGCTCCTGGGATTTTCCCATTGGTGCTGGGGATGCGTGTTGAGGAGTGGGGAAGCATCAAGAGCAAACTGATGGGGAGCAGAAATGGGTAAGATCACACGTAAGAAGGGAATGGCAGCTGCCCCGCAAAGAAGGACCCCAGTGGCACAGGAGGACCAAGAGCGATGGACAGGGATGCAGTGAAGGTGCTGAGATCCATCCCATGGGAAGCTGCAGCCTTTGGGACTGCTTCAGGAGGGAATGAATGCACAGAGACCTTCTTGATCTCTGCTGGCTGAAAACCACCTTCTCCTCCTGCCTTGGGCTGGGCTCTCCACATCTCCTGTCCTTCCCTGCCACGCTCAGAACGTGCAGTGAGGGCTCCTCCCTGCCAGGAGACAGCACCTACACGAGTCCATCTCAAACATGACCACTTCCATTTTGGATGCTTCATCATGGTGGTCATGTTTTCACAGACCCAAGAGGGTCTGGAATCATGAAGGGCTCCCCAGGAGTGATTGATCCCCTGGGAATGGTAGTGGCCCCCAATGCACTGTCCTGTGCTTGCCAACCACTCCCCGGGACCCCAACACCCCTCTGTGCCCTAAGGAAATTTTATCTCTCATTTAAAAGTATCCAAATTGTATTGTTTCCCTGTGAGTCAGCCCATTTAGTTTATGTCCTTCGGTGCCAGAGGGGAAATTTATGAGATGAGAAACTGGCTCGAAACGTTTATTTTCTAGATGACGAGTCATGCCATTAGATATATAGCTTTATGAATCATAGGAACAGCATCTAATTTGCTCTTAAAGGTATAATAGGTCTGATTCCCCACACCCATACACACACATATATTGGATTGATAGTTCCCCCCTAGGATGGCTAGTTCATTTGTTTTGACACAAGCAAGACTTACAGGACCATAAAGTCCCATCTTACCATAAGCTAAGCCTATTCATAAAAAAAATATTAGGGAAACAAACGATCAGCTAAGCACATTTATCCCACACTAGATTGCATATGGATCTTTCTCCTGTTGTTATTTGTGCTCAGGGGGAGGTCATTTGGCCCCATTTTATAGCTGAGACACTGCAACAGAATAGAGAAGAACACTTCCTTTGTCCTCTGTTAGATCTGGCTGATGGAGGGAGAAGCATTAAGTTATTTCTAACTGTGGGTTGTCTGTTGACATCCCAGGAGAGGAAAGTGATAGGACATGAAGGAACCTTTCAGATCAGCATTTGCAGGACTCAGCACACACCACAGCGCTGGTGCTTGCAGATGGGATACTGGAAAGGGCGCGTGTTAGGTGCTTGTCTGTGAATATTTGGTCTTCTCCATGGATGACAGTGACATGAAAATCTGGCCCACTGAGTCTAGGATGCACTCTCTGTTTCTGGAAAAATTACAAAGGAAATACAAGGAGATTAAAAAAAAAAAAAATCACAGGTGAACATGTAGGCTGGACAGAGATGGGCTGCAGATAAAGGAGATGATCTAGAGGCTGGAACTTAGCTTCATTTCGGATTTTGCACTGATTTCCCAATCTCTGCTTGCTTTTTTGTTCTTCTCAGTGCAGAGGGAGAGAAGGAAGTGTGGAAGCAGGTTGAGTCAATGGACAGGTTCCATCCCATGTCCAGGGACATGGTAGCAAACGGACACATCCTGTCCTTTCCCATTGGCAGGATGGAGATGGGACCTGCACACCACGACCTTCCCTCAGGCACAGGCAGGGGCCACTGGAGGAGGATGAAGGCTCCAAAAGGGCTTTCACAGCCCCAAAAGGACACTTCCATGATGGCAGAGTGGCTGG